TGTAAACTCAAAAGATCTAACAAATTTTCCATAAAACACTGGAGGTGAGGTTTGGGTTGTTTTTTTTTTTTGTTAAAAAAAAGAAATCCACATGGTTTGTGTGCAACACCTGCACAAACTTTTCATTTATAATTTAGATAGAAAAGCAGTTCACAAATCATAATGAACAAGGTCTGAATAAACACAGCAGCTACTTATGTGCAGAGCATAAAATGCATAGTTAGGCAAGACCGATGGCGGGGGTTTTTGCTTGTCCCTGTTAGGATTTTGTTAGAAAGATTAATCCCATTGCATACAACTGATCGTATTTGAGACATTCCGTACAGACAGTTCAACAGTTATGTCAGCAATTTCATCCTTGGCAGCCTCAGGCCCACTCAAAAGAGAAACCTAGAGGGAGACACACACCCATTTTTAGAAGAGCATCAGAGCCAAATGGATTTCCCATCACAACGACAATTCATGAGGGGCACAGGGTTTTTTGTTGCTGTGGGTTGGGGTTTTATGTTAGCTTTTTTTTTTTTTTTTTAAAGTAAGAACATAAGAGAAGAAAAAAAAAATCAACTAAAGTTTGTTCAACGAAATGCAATACACTGAACTTTGTAACAAAGATGCATGATATTGCACCAATTTACACCATGGATTAATCCTGTCTGGTAGTGTCACATGCACAGTTAACCAGGAATATTATTAAGTATCAGTAATAATAATAATTTAGCTGGTCAGGTAACTTCATCCAAACTCATCATTTCTATTAAAATGGAAAGAACAGGGATCTCTATGGAGCTGGTAATACAGTAGTGGAAAAACCAGAAAACGTTAGACAAGCATCCATCGCAAATCTGTACGCCCATGGGCTGTATCACACCCCAGATCCACTATGGTGACTGCGCACAAGGGGCCAATGAAGGCGCACGGATTCAACTACATTAAAAAAAAGAGCGAAATCTCCTCAGTGTAATTCCCACAAGATGTTTATATTCAGACCACCACCTCAGGAAAACCTTCTAGTGGCCATAAATCTGAATCCACATGCAAAAGCCCACAGAGATATCTGGGCAATCAGCAGGATCCTCTCTGAAAAATCTTCTTTCTCTTTTTATAGTCTGTGGGTTTACATTTGTGGATGGGGCTTTAGAAACCTTTTGCATAATACCGTGGTGATCAGCACCAGATGTGCAGAGAAATCCGTAAAAAGCAGTATCTTAAAAGGCTTTCAATATAGTACCATCCTTTGATGAAAAACAGCAAGCACACAACAAAAATCTGTCTTTACATCCATTAAAAAGGGCAAATTCATGACAAGTAACAAAAAAATGTTAAAGAGAAAAAACCTTGCTTAAACCTTTTTTCCTTGTTACAAAACACTGACTCTTTCAAATTAAACATTTATTTGTTTTTAAATGTTCTGTGGGGTTTTGTTTTCGTTTGTTTTGTTTTTGTTTTTCCTGAACTGACATGATCCTCTGAAGCAAAGTTATCTGCTTTCACGCCTGGGTGGGACCCAGGCCTTTTCAAGCAAATATTGTTTTATTTTATTTTAAGTTTCTAACAGAGCAAAAGCAGAGTCACTGCAGAAAGAAGCAATGAAACAAAGGAGGACGACGTTGATGGACTTCCCAAGGTCGCTGCAGGTGCCAGACAATGGTTCCCAGGAGGGGAAAATATGGTTGTTTAAAAACAAATTTGGTGCATGTGGCAAGCGTGGATGTTTCCCCGTGAGATCCAAGGTGACATGTATGACGACAGACATAGGAAAGGAGTAAGGGGAAGAAGGGAGAGGGGAGGGAAGAAAGGACGAGGAAGAAAAAGAAAGAAAGAGAGAAAGAGAGAAAAATAGATAAAAAAAATTAGGTCATAAATATAGAAAACATAAGAATCAAAGGTTTATTTATTTTCGTAAATTAAAATGGCTAAAGGTTAAAGAAGAGCATTAGCACATTCACACCGACAAAAGGGCCGGTTCAGAAGCTCAGCAATGTCCAAAGCTGCAGAGCAGGGTCCAAGTCAGGGTTTATGGGGTTCGCAAGCAAATGAGATTAAAAATGATGGAACAGAAGGCTCAGCGAGAAACACGAGAAAATGGTTATCTGGTTTTTGAAAGGACAACACTGCCTTTTACTCTTTTTTTTTTTTTAAAAAAAAAAAAAGCAAAGCTTTTGTGACAATCCACCTGCCTGCCCAAGTCCTTCCCCCAAAGCCTGCTGTACCAAGGACCTGGATAATAGATCCGGGTGACTACAGCTTGGAGAAGCGCAACAGTCAAGAACACAGGACTGACTTTTCCATTTAGCCTTCCAGCTGCTCGTGCACTACTCTAATGCAATTATTATTATTACTGAAAATAATACCCTTATCCTTCCAGCCTCCTTAAGGACACTGTACAGATGACGGTAACAAAGGACTACATAATAAATACACATTTTGTCTGCAGGAAATTCCTAGCTCTTACTGTCAAGCACAGCAATGCCATGTTAGAGGCACTGGCTCTGACTTCTGTGCAGCTTATTCTGAGATAAAAACGTAAAAGCTAAATGCCACGAAAACGACAAGAGATGCAAAAGGAAAGTAACACAGAGCCTCTTCCCTACTGCAGTTTGGCATACTTGCCTTCATTTCAATGAGGCCTGTTGACTGCATGTCACAGAAGTCTAGCCTGCCCTCTGGAAATATCTTCCCCAATGTTATTAGTCTGGGGATCAGCTCAGGGAACCAGAGGCTCTGGAAACTCCTTAGAAGGCCTAATAGAAACCAAAGTCCTCTACAAAATGAAAAAAAAAAAAAAAAAACAACCCAAAAAACACCACCTAGAGAAACAGAGTCGCAAATCCAGCATAGTCAGCAGTAATCATTTCACTGCACAGTGCTCTACTTGCCCCTGAACAAGAGCACATTCTTTCGGAGAACAAACTGCATCCATCTGTTGGGTCAGCCCTGCAGCAAATTTGCACTCCAAAACAACTGCTTTTCAAAGTGCTTCCGACATTTCTAAATGCAACATTTGAGTGGCAGCCTCAAAGCCTGATTCCTCCTATGCTTCACACCAGACTAAGTGAGGAATAATTTCAGAGAGGTTACAGAAGTTACAACTGTGGTAACAAACTGGGCTTCCCCCCCTGCCATTTTTAGAGGGTCCCTGCCCATGTTACTGTTGGATTTAAAGGGCTCAGTGGCATCTGGGCTCGTTTTTGGGCTCCATGGCTCCCATTGCCATGGACTACAGTACAAACACTGTATTCCAAAGGCAGCAGCGTTCTCAAAATTTGCTGATACCCCTGTGCAAGACATTCCAGCTGTCCCAGGTAGCTTTGTTGTCCCATTGGGCACGTAACAAAGGCGAAAAGAGAGTATCAGCACAGGAAGGCAACAAAGGACTGTGGAGGAACAAGAAGACTGACCAGTACCTGTGACTTTCCCTGGGGAGATACGTCACAGTGCAAAGGAACCACTTTCTGCTGTTTCCAGCCTACCCCACTTGACTGTGCAGCTCTGAACTGACCTTAAGGCACTCTTTGCCCAATTACCCTCACTTTCTCCTGCCACATCAGTCAGTTGTCCTTCAAATATGTGAGGGTAGCAAGTATTAGAGCTGTTGAGAATGAGAATCAGAGAGTAAGTTGCTTAATGAGTTACTGAGGGTCCTTCCACCCAAAACTACAGCCTTGTTCAAACATACATCCCAATCTCTCTTTTGCCCCATTACCCTCATCCTCCCTACCATACACATTGTTCAAGCCCAACCAACTAGGTCACTCATTCGTATGCTTAACAACGTCATCTGGCTTATTCGAGAGGCATTTCAGCATGCACACTGCACGAGGTCTCAGCTGTTTCCTTCAGACAGGAGGGGAGTGGGCGCAGCGGGGGCAGACCAACGATTGAATTCTCAGTGGAAGGAAAAGACTGAAGAAAACTCTCTAATTGTTCTGAAGAAAAACACGAGACTGAGTTAATCTAGAAGACGGAATGAAATCAAGTCGCTCCCTTCAATGTAGGCCGTCAGCACCAGTCTTGGCATGAGTATGCTTAACTCTGGCTGTGCAGTGAGGACTTATCTTGACTGACTCATCAGCTTTAAAGTTCGTCCACCTACCTTTAACCAGTTAGAATCTTAATTTACAGGTAGTCCAGCAATTTCATCCTTGAGGTTTTTATTTGTTTGTTTGGTTTTTTAAAAGCACTACTACCACCTGTGTAGAAAAGAAGTAGTGCCTGTCCTCTCAACACCTTCCAGCGAACTGCTAAATTCCTAGCATCCCAGCTAATAGGGTCTGCTTGTTTTTTGTAGCACTTGTGCTTCTACCTCACTTTTTAAGCACGGTAATAAGTACAGTCTGTCTGAAAGAAGAGTTTCCAGCAGCATTCTAATGCTATTCAGTTGCTTTTTCCTGATGCCCTACCCAACATTAAAACAGTGCTGTTTTAAAATTACTGTAATCTGCTCTCCACTTCATTTAATAAAAAAGCCTTCAGAGGAAGATTTTTAAGCCCCTCCCTTTTCAACCACTAGCAAACTCCTTATGCCTGTATTTTCCAAAGGCCGAGCTGGGGGGACAAATGAGCAGTAAGCAAGCCCAAAGCAGATTTGGAAGGGAAATCTGCACTGCGAAAAGCATCACCCAGAGATCTCAATGGTCTCTTTTGCTGTAGTTTAAAATGAGAACCCTACTTTCTGGTTTCAGAGAGCATTTTCTCTCCGCTGCTCTTCTCGTCTAGCCATCCTGTTACCCTGATACAAAGAGCCAACGTTCCCTGTAAACAGTCGGACAAGGATTTGTCATGTAGCGTTCCTAACAGTGTACTGCTAATGCTGTACATACTGTAACATGGACTACGGTACAGGTATGTACATGGCAAAAACTAAGCTTTGGATGGGTAACCAATTGTGATAATGGCTTTAAGCAAGCAAGTTGTCAGGGTTACTCAGGCACATTAAAGGATGCAGCACTGTTGCATTAATTAGAAGCAGAAAACAACGGTAAAGCTTATGACTGCTGTACCTGGGATGACAGTAGGCTGAGCAGAAGTTCGGAAAGCATAGTGAGCTGGCTTGGACTTCCCTTGCTGGTTTTCAGCTATCACATAAACCTCATACTCCGCATTCCAGTCCAGGGACTTGAGCATGACGTGGTCACTGCCAGACGGAAGTCTGATCTCTGGTTTCCATTCTGTGGAATGCTTCTGCAGAGCAGTGAGATAACAGGCAGGGATGCAAGACACACAGCACGTCATTAGTAGCCAGCTTCGAAAGCCCTGTAACGGCTAACCAACAAACGGAGAAGTGGGGAGGCTTCTCCACAAGCACACGCTCCTCAGCTAATTCAGGGTCGTAAAACTTCATGTGCTGTTAGCTCTAAGTGGAGGGGACAAGAGATACCACAGCAGCCGCTTTCCTGCTCAGAATCCTGTTTTTCTGCAGTGTTACCACACCTGAAGAAAATCCCTCAGTTCCGCCTCTCGTCTTTGCCATATGACTAGACCACTTCCATTTCAGAGGGAAAAAGCTGCCACTTCTGTGGATCTCTGCCCTGCAAAGCACTGTAAGAGCGTTCTTTCATGTCTTCGTACGTTACATTTACATCATTTGAGCAAGAGAGATTTACCTCTTAACATGGGGCTGGCCTATCTTACCACTACCATTCTATTCTGCACTGCTTCAGAGAGATTTTAAAAGATGCATATGATGAATAACTTGGATGATTCCAGTTTCAGGAAATCCAGGTGTACATTTCATCCAAATCTGAAACCCCCCCTGCCAAGGCACCTTGAGACAGACAGTTTTCTGGGACTAGAGAGTGCTAACAGACTTTCCTGTCTCTGCTGGAATGTACGGTTCTGTGATACTAGATTGTTCTTTGACTTTCCAAAGACTCTCCCCATTCTAAGCAGCTCTAACTAACCTGAAGTGCACAAAATGATGGTGGTAACAAATACTATTGATATTTCTAGATTGCAGTGCAAAGTTTGCTCTGCAAGACTCCTCCTTCACGCTAAGGATTGTTCATTTGTAGAGTATAAAGAAAAGATGACTAATAGCAAATACAGAATTATTGGTTCAGCACCACATCTGGCAGACTCAGTCACTGAGAAAGTGTCCTGCTTTCTTAATAGCAGGAAAACTTCCACGTTTCAGCTCAAACACACTGGACAGCTGAGCTGCCCCCAGGTGTATTAAGACTGAGAAAGTGTGCAGACAACAGAAAAAAGCTTCAACAACTTCTGACAATTCTTTCTGCTCCTCTGAAGAGCTTCATATTCTCACTGACCCTCTCTCAAAGTCCTCAAGCATGTTCTAAGCTGCCTTTCTGACTGGGTGCTCTTGTAGGAAAAAAGACATCAAGTACTACCTAACAAAAAACAAGGGCCACGTTCTGCTTACAGCAATACTACCTGCTCATCACACAGATGTTCTTTCCCAAGACTAGGGCTAGATGTTTCGCTCAGACAATCATATATGTTGCAATTCTGGGTAATTTATAATGAGAGCTGATTAAGTTAGGCCTAAAGGGCAACCGCTTCCAACAGCACCTCTCACTTTATCTGTCTATACTCACTTCATTGAGCATCTTGTTCAATAATCTGCAGAATAATTTGGTACCGAAGCACCCATCACTCAAATATGGCAGTTTCAATGACCAATGGAATGTTATGATTAGATACATGTTTGAAGGTGGGCAATGCTCTATGCTATGAGCTTCTGGTCCCCAGCTCTTTAAATTGTTGCTGGTAATCCCATCTCAGAAGTATATAAAATGAAATAATACTACGTGCATGTAGTTACCATATGCTCACTGTTCTACAGAAGACAGCACGGAGAGATAATCTTTCATAGTCAAAGAGAAAGGAAAGAAAACGAGACAAAGATTTTTGTATGTTGCTTCTGTGCACGTCATGTCTCCTACCCTATACGCTTCTACCACACCTGCTTAGCATACACTCCCATACAGGCCTACGGACAGGATCTTAGCTTCGGAGTCGTCTGCCTACAAAGTGAAGCCCAAGTACCGAACAGGCTAAAAACAAATCAGGCTCAAGTGTCAGTCATACTTACAGCTTTGTATTTGATCAGATAATGTCTAATTGGGGAGCCACCATCATCCTGCTTGATGACTTTCACTTTAATGGAGTTTCCGTCTTCTCCCATCTGACCTTCCAGTTTGGGTGCGCTGGGTTCCCCTGAAACAATGGTGGATTTATGTTTATTTGTAAAAAAATAATCTTTAGGGAAAAAGTACTCAAAATCAGAAAAGCACTTCATTATCCTCAGTTGCCAGGGTATCAGCCTCACTCTGACCCAGACACAGAGGACACTGTGTGTCTAGGGTACAAATACTTGCACGATCCAAGTACATCTTGTGTTTGGTAGTTTGTTTTCGCCGATACACACGACCATTTTTGTGCATGCCAGAATGGAGTCAGAAGCTAAGTGAAAAAGACTCCGCCTTTCCCCAAGAATATCCTAAAGCAATGACCAGTTCCTCACTACTTTTGTGGTAGAAGGCTGATGTGAAACACCTGTAAAAATGTCAAGATAGGGTATGTGGCAAACAGGCAGGCTGCTCCTGTGAAACACAGATGTAAAGAGCATCATTGAAAAGGGACATGATGATTGTCATACACACATGTGTTTGAATGTTGTTTAGGTTATATAGTTGCCGGACCAGAGACTCACTGGTGTGCTCACTTAAATGAGTGTGGAAAAAATCACAACAGCACATCTTTTCACTCAGCTTGCACTGGTGTAGCCAATTGCAACAAACACAGGCCGGAGAGAACTAGACCCTTTAACTCTTCTGTAAGAACCATTTTTAAAAGAAAAAGCTATCATTTCCCAATTTGCACTCCTGACATCAGCAGAAAACGGAAATGTCACTTGCCCCTGGAGGGCACGCTGATTTACAACCAGACCCTTTCACACCCATGTCTCTACAACTGCTTTTTCTAGCCAATTCCTCCATAACCTGCCCACATAACCGGCAGAGGATGGTTCCCCAATCCCGACTTAAGTACTTCCTTCTTGCACCTTTACTATAACACCTCTCCTAATACAAGTCAAATCCACAGATTGTCCAATTACGTATTTATAGACACCTCTCCCCCCATCCCCTCCTTCAGAAATACTGCAGCAAATTGCTCAAGGGACATGCTTTCGCCTTCTGCTTTCATATTACCCCAGAGATCAACTGTTTCTGAAGTGCTCTGACAGCCCACAAGTTTACTACGCCAGAGACATTATTACCTGTTTGTGGAAAAAGAAACCCATCAACCAAACAACCGCCCGTCCCCAACAAGCTAAGTACCAAATTAGCAAGAGAACTTAAATGGTTAAAGAGCACTGGTCTCTCTTCAAAAGTGACATAGAACACAAGAGCCCAGATCCTGTTAACCTTCTGTCAGTGCCTCTTATGTTTGCTTTGCTCCAGTTTACGTAAAGGCAAGAAAGGCTTAGGATCCTCTGTGCCAAGGCTCATCTGAGACTGGAGTCGGAGCTATTATTTCTACAGCCCTGAAATGTCCCAAGAGTTCAAATGCTAGCCAAAGTCAGTACGACTTGACAAAATTTATCGTAAATCTTACTGAAGCTTATTAGGTTGTTTTATGGTACTTTCTGACTTCTTTAGTATCGGCTCTGTGATGTAGTCTAAGTGCTTAAGCCATGAATTCTGGGCTTAAAAACTTCTTGAGAACTTCGGAACATTTCAGCTATTCAAGTTAAAATTTACAAATCAGCTGCCGTTGGCAGTTCCAGCAAAACTCCTGAGATTAATTACACTCTGCTGGCTGGTCTCATTACAGGGTCCTAATTCTTGCAGGTATTTTATATAACAATTAAAGTGGTTGAATGTTAAAAAGCAAACAATTCCTAAACCTCTGTTTAACCACAGCCATGCATACTTTATGCATTTTGGAAGTATTTCTGTTTATTCATCTGAGTGGTGAACAGCTCATTTAGAACTGGCTACAGGAAATTTATACTCAGGGAAGACAGCAGACAACGCACATCCTGCGTTGTGCTGTGCACCCTGAACCTAAATACACTTCCCGCCTGTTTGCGGCCCCAACGTTTGCACAGGGTTGCTAAGGCTGAGCACACACTTTACCGTTCCAGCCCAAAGGGACCAACAGTTCGGCTAAAGCACCTCTGTCTTTACTTGCAGTGCCAGTTGTGTTTTGGACAAGGGGCCTTCTTGAACACAAGCTCACTGATACACTGGAGTGTGGTGAAATACAGTTAGAAGATGATGCAATTCTGAATGTAGCCCAACGAGAGCAACACCAAGCCTCCGAAATCGGGACATTCATGACTTAAGAGCATGCATGTAATCAAATGAAAACAAACCCAGGACACTGAAGGAACATTTGTGGCTTTTTAAAAGCTCAGCCTGTTGCCTAGAATAAAACTTTTAAAAAGACTTAGTTCTGTTGCATTATACTAAAAGTGAAAGGAAATAACAACTCAGTAGTTTTATTAGGATCAACTTTGAAAGATAACATCAGTCATGGGAATTTACAGGACCTTCTTTCAACCCAAAACCCATTCTCAATTCTAAGTCTGCTCTGTCCGGACTTGTATTCAGCTATTAATGGAGAGCACATGCATTTCTGACTGGCTAGAGGAGAAAGGTTAATCTTCCAGTGTCTTTCCACGTTGATCTTCATGAGTAATTTAAAGCCTTTCTCCACCCCCAGCCCCCTTCCCCTCGAAAGAAAGAATCCAAACACTTTTTTTTTGGTGAAACATCAATGAGAACTGCAAGACCTAGACCAAACCAGTAATTTAAGATTAGCTCGACTTTCTTGCAGGCTAATACACGCTCTAACACAACAACCGTTCCAAGAAGGTTAATTACAATCCACGGACACACAGAGCTCTTTGATGTGAGATACAAACATTCGTGTTTCACAACACAGTAACTTCTCAAAGACGTAAAGAGGGAATGCTCCTTTTTTCAATGTCATATTTCTCTTTTGCAAATCCTTGCCTCTGCCTGTAGCCCCATTACAAGACTCCCATGATACGAGCTGGTCACTGAAGAGCTGTACTCCACCCTGGGACAGGTTTCTCAGTGACTGTACATCGAAAACAAAGGTAATGCTCTCAAGGTGACCATGCATGGACCTTTAGGGCTGTTTGAAGCAGATGGCACACAGGAATAGGTTTTCCTATTTACGTTTCAACAGGTGTTACACAGTCCCCTGGAGTTCTGGTTCGCATGGGACAGTGCCACTCGTGTCTCGAGAAAGAACACGAGAATCTCATGTTTAAGTGACGACCACATCTGCCATCTACTGTATAGACAAAAGGGTGGATTTTTATCTTTACTGCCCAACTAACTGAGGCTGCACCTTTGAAAAGCCCTTCCCAGCCCATGTTTCTCCTGGAATTACGAATGCATTGCAGGTTGAACATTAAATGGGAACAAGCAAGCTCTAGACGAGCAGAAGTACCCCACCTAGGCATACTGAAAATAGCAGATTAACCAAGTAATTATACTTCCTTATTTCCTTAATCCTAAAAGAAAAATATCACTGCAAAGGTTACTGGTTTTGACTATTGAGTCGATTTGAGCTGAAGAAGCTATTACTGCAATAGTTGTGTCATGACTATTAATCAATAATTAAACAAACCAGAAGCAAACGTCTTGTTCTATCATTGTTTGCACACAAGAAACGAGCTCCCAGTAACAACTGGGGGCAGGGCATTCATTCATGGCTACTTATTTTGCTGGACACTGAGCCACTTGACACTGCTGAAACATAATTTATGAGCAGCAATGCTTAACTGTTGCCATATTTGTGGTAGACTCGATGAATGGCTTCACTGATAACTAGATCGTACAAGATCAACATCTCCTTAGTA